ATCTTGACTTGGAGCGCGTGATTTTTGACGTGTCTCCAAACAACGCAACGTCCCGCTTCCGAAGCTTTTTTGTTGTGTTTTTTTTCAGATTGCTTACATCACTGTTTTAAAAATAATAAAACAATTGTAGCCTTTAACTTCGGTCGATACCTGGATTTATCGACCCGAGAAAAGATATATTAACCGAGGACGCAGGCTATAATTGAATGATATTCGATGAATATTCTGCGTTAATTAACTTGTTGGTAAACTAGACTACTAAATTAATCGCTAGTTGATACTATCATGTTGAATAGTGACATTTAGATTTAACGAGTTGTGTGACCATTAGAAAACGAAATTTGTCCTGTTTTCTTTAATTGAAGAGTAGATTATAGTTTGCTGTAAAATCATTTTCCTTTCGCATGAATATACATTCTAGAATGCCAATTTTACCCCCATCGTAAAAATGTGTATATTGAATCTCGCTACATTGTATTTCATTAAAGACACAAAAAAACTAATGATATCAACTTATCAGTGGCAGTAATTTTTACAACGGAACCAGATATTTGCCCCCTTTTCCCAACAACTATATTGACGACTCACCAAAATTGAGTTTCCAACAGCTCTTTGTCCTGTATGTAACTACATAAAATTTTAACTCGTACTGTCATACAGACAAACTCTAATTACAGCAGAAGTTTTATGACATAATTTCTTTAAATATTCATAGAAAGCTATCAAGTTGATTAAAAAATAACATAGCATTAGCAACGACAAAATCAGAACTCGAGGATGATATTAAGAGCAGTCTATTACATAATACATCAGGAGGCACGATATTCTAGTGGCAGGACGCCGGGCTCATAACCGAAGGGTTGCGAGTTCGACTCACGTCATGGCACTGAGTTGTATCTTTGAGAAAGATACTTTGCTCCGCTTGTTCCAGTCTACTCAGCTGTAAATGAGTACGTGGTTGGGTAGTGCTGCAATTGTAGAATGCTAGCTGTGAGCGCCGAAATGGTAGCACCGGTGTTATGCATAAAAAGTACCCCCTTACCAAAAAGTATCCGGATACTTTTTATACCTGCATAAAATGTACCCCCCCCACCTTGCATAAAAAGTGTCCCCCTTATGAAAAAAAAATATATTTATCTATTTTCAAACCAATTAAGTTAAGGACTTCAACAGGACATTACAGGGGAATATTTATCCACCCCTACCCCACCAATCCCCATCCCCGGGGCCAGGTAATTATGCCAAAATAGTTTTCAATCACTGGACACAATTAGGTTTGGGGAGTCATGAAGAAACATTTTCAGCCATAGCATGTTAGAGTCATTACCCAACCTATCTTCAACTCATGAAAAATGTAAAATTTCAATACATTTTTTTCAAAATAAAGTAAAGATCTGGTGTGATACATGACTGACAGGTATAGAAGTGATAAGGTCTGTTATGATACAGGACTGACAGGTATAGTATAGTTATAAGTTGTAGTGTAATACAGGACTGACAGGTATTGTATAGTGATGAGGTCTGGTATGATACAGGAATGACAGGTGTAGTATAGTGATGAGGTCTGGTATGATACAGGACTGATAGGTGTAGTAAAGTGATGAGGTCTGGTGTGATACAGGACTGATAGGTGTAGTATAGTGATGAGGTCTGGTATGATACAGGGCTGACAGGTATAGTATAGAAATAAGTTGTAGTATGATACATGACTGTCAGGTATAGTATAGAAATTAGTTGTAGTATGATACATGACTGGCAGGTATAGTATAGTGATAAGTTCTAGTATGATACATGACTGTCAGGTATAGTATAGAAATTAGTTGTAGTATGATACATGACTGGCAGGTATAGTATAGTGATAAGGTGTAGTGTAATACAGGACTGACAGGTATAGTAGTGATGAGGTCTGGTCTGATACAGGAATGACAGGTAGAGTATAGTGATGAGGTCAGGTATGATACAGGACTAGCAGGTGTAGTATAGTGACGAGGTCTGGAATGAAACAGAACTAACATGTGTAGTATAGTGATGAGGCCTGGTATGAACAGGACTAACAGGGGTAGTATAGTGATGAGGCCTGGTATGAACAGGACTAACAGGAGTCGTATAGTGATGAGATCTGGTATGATACAGGAGTGATAGGTGTAGTAAAGTGATGAGGTCTTGTGTCATACAGGAATGACAGGTGGAGTATAGTGATGAGGGCGGGTATGATACAGGACTAGCAGGTGTAGTATAGTGATGAGTTTTGGTATGATACAGGACTGTCAGGTGTAGTATAGTTATGAGGTCTGGTATGATGCAGGACTAACATGTGTAGTATAGTGATGAGGTCTGGTATGAACGAGACTAACAGGTGTAGTATAGTGATGAGGTCTGGTATGAACAGGACTAACAGGTGTAGTATAGTGATGAGATCTGGTATGATACAGGACTAACTNGGGTAATGACTATAACATAACTAAATGTTTTTACATGACTCCCCAATCCTTATTGTGTCCAGTAATTAAAAAATATTTTTGCATAAAATCCGGGCCCCGGGGGTGGGGATTGGTGGGGTAGGGGTGGATAAATATTTTCCTGTAATGTCCTGTTCAAATTCTCAACTCAATTGTATAAAAAATACAGAAATATGAGATTTTTCATAGGGGGGTACTTTTTGGTCAGGGTATAAAAAAGTATCCGGGGGTGGGGAATTGAATATAGGTTGGGTTATGGCTAAAACCTAACTGTAAATGTTTCTTCATGACTCCCCAAACATTATTGTGTCCAGTGTTATTTTGGCATAATTTCCTAGCCCCGGGGGTGGGGATTAGTGGGGTAGGGGTGGATTAATATTCCCCTGTAATGTCCTGTTCAAGTTCTGAACTCAATTGCATAAAAAAAGAGAAAAATCATTTTTTCATAGGGGGTACATTTTGGTCAGGTGTATAAAAAGTATCCAGGGGGTGGGGAGTTGAAGAAAGGTTGGGTAATGACTATAACATAACTGTAAATGTTTCTACTTGACTCCCCAAACCTAATTGTGTCCAGTGATTGAGAATTATTTTGGCATAATGTCCTGGCCCCAAGGGTGAGGATTGGTGGGGTAGGGGTGAATAAACATGCAACTGTNATCCGGATACTATTTAAGCAGGAGGTACATTTTATGCATGACACCGGCTGAACGCTCCCCAGGGAGTTGAGAAAGATATTGGCTGGTTGCAAAGGCCCTATAACCCCGGATAATAATTTGTGAACCGCTTTGAGACGACCTAGGAACTAGGTTGTGATAGAGCGGTATACAAGAACCTAGTTTTTCTAGTTTTGGTATTTTTATTTGGTTCTTGCATGGGTTGTTTTGATGTTTATGTGGGAATAATGTTTATACACACCCTGGGTAATAGCCCTTCATCGTCGTTCTATATATACCGTCGTAGTAAGACAGCCGAGCTTTAAATTACATTTCGCTACTTAAATATATTTCATTTTCTTTTATGGCCACTGTGAATTGTAGCTGGTGGCGCATTTAAGGTATACATTTTAATTAAGGGATAATGCATTGCTCTTTTCTGCCGGAATTACTATTCGTAAGTTCAATGATTCATATCGTCCTCGGGCAATACTTTATTTCAGAATAGTTCTTTTAGCTACAACTGGGATTTCATTTTCAACACAGCGATGTTTGGTAGATTTCCGGCTGGGAAATTGTTCGCTGAAATATGAAATTGTATAATTGTATCTTGTGTTAAGTTAGCTGACCATAAACGCACCATTACTTGTTGTTGGATTTCTAGTATTCTCGAACTGAAGAATTAAGAAACGGTATTAAACTGTATTTAACCTTATTTGGAGTTAACTGGATTATCCGTTTAGTCGATACAATTGTGATTTCCTCAAATTCAAAATGGGCAAGAGTAAAACAATCACCAAGATTTCATTTTTACATTTTAAACGAAACATAACAACCTCAACAGCTGTCCAGACAGTGTAACAAACCTGCATATGTTATCACTTGCATTCACTTGTGAAATAATCCAGGTGTTGTTTTTGTGGTTATATAGGGAGACAAATATAGCCAAGAGCAACGTTTTGTATCAGAACCCTCGAACACGAATTAGGAAGGTTTACATGACATACTGCCACAGGGGATACACCTTTCCAATACGGAAATAGACCTAAACACACTGATCAGTTACAGAGAATAATCAGAGAGCCAGAGGTATTGGTGTTTATATTCCTATATGTTAACTCATTTCCTCAGTTGTATTTATGTTTTACCGTAGGCACTGACATCTGGTTTTAGAACAATAATGAAATTTGTTTCGGTACATACTATTATCAACCTGGACAAGGCGATAACTACTTTCCCAAGGAAACAATATACTACATGATTACGTAAACAACATGTGATATAATATATTTGTACTTGAAATCAAGGATCCGCTTGTGCATTATTTCTTTACCGTTATTATAAGAATGTTTATGTCCAGTTTGATTAGTCGATAATATGTCAGTAATTTAATTGAATCTTTTTTCAGTCCGAAACAACCTTTAATTTATTTCGCCAGTTGTCAGCCTTATTGTATTGGAATGATCAATAAACTCGTATTTGTATGTGTCATTAATTTAAACTGACTAATTCGATATTTCTACAGGTAGTGATTATTTCATATTTTTTAATCAATTACGTAATGCATTATTAATTATACAATGCCGTTATTGACAACAATAAGGTCTTATCAATTGTTAGCAACAAATTGAACCAGTTCCGTCATAGGTATATTTTCATACATATATAGACCTATACGTGTGTCAGAGATTTATGTAAAGGGAGGCAACCCTTGTCGATCAAGTCGACATGTGACATAGTATAAGTTTTTCTTTATTTTTTTGTCAATGACATACATGTACATGTATATAAACGAGAAATGTGATTTGTTCGTCGATTGATATATCAGCAATGATAACGTATACTTCAGTTCATAAACGAAAGTAAAAAAATCTCCTACACAAGTTCTCGGTAGACAGAACTAAAGTGAAAGTAGAATTTCCATGGGGATTACCATATTTTGGTCATGTTTTATTTGAAACAGAAACGTGAAGTGTACACATGAATTCAAATGAATATCTTATTGTATTGTTAATTGTTGAAGGCTGTATTGTTTTAATTGCAATACTTATATATTGTCTGATGGAGAGAAGAAGGAAAAGAAAGGTATTTAAATAATTCTTAAACCAGAGATTGTTATTGTGCAAATTTGTTTCTATGTATAATATTGTTTTATCATGTTTTGTGATTTTCCAACTGTTACTTGTCTATTTGTAGAGAGAAGACGTTGAGACTGGATCAAGTAATGATGTAACGAAAGTAAGACAAACTAGGTGACAAAAGATGGGATTCTACCCAATATATTTAACAGTGTCTTTTCCATATTTTTAAATTTGATTAATATTTCAGAGTTTATCTTATTTTCTATTTTCGTATTACAATTACAAGGCATACAATTGATATGAACACTATGGTCAGTACACAGGGGTTTGTATAGAATTGTATGATAAAATTAGCCAGAAATACCTATATATAAACACTAATTATATCATACACGTCTATACAAGCCCCTGTGATCAGTACTTACAAAGCTCAAAACGAAAGTAGGAATATAACAGGAAATGAAAATAGATTATGAAGAATCGTATTCTTAAAGGACATAATAATGAACGAAAACCTTAAAAACAATGTTATCTAGTAAAATATCATCTAATAATGTAACCTTATGAATATTTTAATCCTGGACAAGGAAGATTTTCGTTCAAGCAAACATTTAGGATGTTGTATAATCTACCAAGAAACCACTTGCTCTATTATAATTGCCCTGATTTGACATAACGTAGGTTGGTAGATTGTAACACGAAGTAATGGGATTGATATTGTAGATAACTCAGTTTAACCACAGGGGCTTGTATATATAGGTATTTCAAAAAGCTATTTTTATCATATAAGTCTATACAAGCCCCTGTGGTTTAACCCTGTTTATTGGTCAGCCATATAAGTGTGTACGATGCATGCAAGATGCGCGAACGCTGTTTGATTTGGTGCATTGTACGGTCACACAAGTAAACTACCGGTGACTCGCCTAATCTTGATCGTGGAAAACGTAAACTCCAAAGCTAAACACAGTTACGTAATAACATGCATATTCCGTTTAATATGTAATAACACGTTATATATCAACAAATTTCTTTAAAAAAGAAAATATCATCAAGTAAAAATGCAGTATTCGGATAATCTAATAGCTTATATATATGCATTAGCCATTGATTTATAGAGGATTAATTAAAAACCTGCATTTAATTCAAAGATTATTATAAATAAAAGTTGCAAAATGCCATGATACGTAACTCAAGTCATCAAAGTGTTTTTGTCTACATGTATGTTGTTGTTAGTGGTAACTGTTGTACTTTAATCACCGGAAAATTCTATTTGTAGAGACAAAAGATGAGTGCAGGATCAAGTCATGCAGGAACAGATGTAAGGCAAACTCATGAACAAAGAATGTGCTACACAAAGATGGGTCCTACTCTATAGATTTAACATTAACACATTTTATAAATTAATTAACATTCCATTAATAGTATAGTTTTATTAGTAGCAGTTATATATTTTTACCATTTTGTTTTGCACTGGAAGATTTATAAGACAATGCAATTGGCATGACACGTACGAGCCTATTAAAAATAAACAGTACTTAAAAACAACTCAAAACGAAAGTAGAAATATAACAAACATTGAAATTAAAATAAGGAAATTAAATTTCTTAAATGGCGAATGAACAAATAAATGAGCGATCCTACAAAAAAAATCAATAAGGTTTAACAAACCAGGCTCAAGGGAAGACAATATCATTAGACATTTAACTCTGTGTTATTTATTATAATTAGAAGATATCCTAGAGTAACAATTTCTTTTGAAGGTTTCGGAACTGGGCGACAAACGCTTTCCGTTCAAGCCTAAGGTAATGATATTTCAGAATATACCAATAATTTCAAGATTTGTTTTATCATTCACTGTTGATATTATCAAAATAGCACTTTTATATTTCTTGTAACGCAAGAATTATTAAGATAGTTATTTTCTTAATATGCAGTTTATACATGCGGACTCTCTTTTTACTAGATGACAAAGTTAACCTCCTATCTAAACATATGTAGGCAATACAGTGTATGCATACTATTCATTTCATATCTTCTTAAATAATTGATCGAGAAAATATGTCTCAGTCAAACGTGCAGTATTGACATTATGTAATTGCGTATTTACATAAGTTGAAAGGGTTATTTATTTGACTTTTAGGGAATCCCTAATGTTGGTGCCTCCTGTTTCATGAACTCAATGTTGCAGGTATGTTCTAACAGTTTTAAGATGACTATTTTTAATCAATTTGAAAACAAATAAACAAAGTAAAAAGTTGTACAACAATATAATATATATGTACGTGTAATATTTTTTTTTAAAAACGTTAAACCTCAAATGTATACATTGACCTACATTATATGAACAAATATAAAATCTGATGATCCTATCTGATCAATGTCAATTTATTCAATTTTATATCGATTTTGTAGTGTTTATCCTGGAGTCCATGCCTTATAAAACAGCTGGAACATCAAATAGAGAAAATGGTAACAGTGGTCTTCCAAAGTCTTAATATCTAATTGACCCAGGCAAATTGTTTACGCTGCAAATATTCCATCATATAACATGAACCTTTAATGATTAATAAACCGAAAATGAAAGTAGAATTTCTGTTAATTCGAATATATTTTAAAGGCGATTTATAAGGGTTTGTTTTACTTGTCTTTCAGACTTTCGATTTACTTGTCTTTCTGTCTTTCGATATACACTTATGGTGTAAAGTTCTGTTCGACATACTAGACATTTAACCAAATTTACTCAACTATTGCATCAAATGAACCGCTATTAATTCACGAACCGAGGCTGAAAGTAGAAGTTTCTGTTATTGAAAATATTCAACTAACAATTAAAGTCATATTGTTTAATGCGTTCTTCAATTTACCAAACAATAATGTGTAATAAGGCTCAATTAGAACATTTCGTGTTATTTGCTTCATGCAAAATGACCAGATCTTTTGTATTACAACATTCAGCAACAGAAACAATACCAGGGGAAACTGGCGACAACTTTTCTTAGATTATTACAACTAAATCACGCCGGAGATGAAGATACGGCCAAGGCCTATAAGAAGAAACAGACCAAAAATGTGAAAATGTTTTGTAAGGAATTAGTTAAAGAGTAAGTTTTTGTGCAAATCATATAAACGTGTACAGTTATATATTTCAAAATGGAAAGACAATCACTATGATATTTCATAATTAACATGTAAAAAATCATAATAAGGTTATGAAATATATTCAGTTATTATCTTCTCTAAACGATTTGATATCCATCGCAAAGGCGGTTTTTATAGCAGAAAAGTTTTCGTTGAACCAATATATAATTTCCTTGATATATCATCGCTGCAAGCCATACCACGGGTGTTAGGTAAACTATACCGGTGTATTAGCAGTAAAAAAACAAACATATTACACATTGCACTTTTTATTATGTCTATATCTAAAAACACCGAATGGCTGTGGTTCACTTTCCATTTAACTTTTGGCAAATTTGTTTAATATGATCAATTCATGTACTTAAGAAAGGAGCACTTCGACGGTCGAAGTCAAGAAGACAGCTTTGAATTTTACAACGCTCTAATAAGTGGCTTGGAGGATGAGGCTCTACGAAATGTTCCGGTAACAGCCTTATATTTTGTACACAAAAATATTCGTGATACATAATTATGTGCTTTCATATCCCTTATCGAGAATTTGTACTGAATACGCTCCATGAATTCATGTAAATGGTCGCATCACATTGTCTGTCACCATACTAAATCATACCAATCTAGTAGGCTAGCATATTATTCACAATAAAACCCACTTCTTTATTACAGTTTTGGCCCAAAAAAGAACCAGTCACAGGTAAGTGGAAGAAGTTATTTGTGGTCCGAATTATACTAAATGGTTGATAACGAAACCAGCACAACTGTTGATACATTTATGCAATCGTACCAACTCATAGAGTAAATGAAGATATATGTGTTAAAATCTGATTCAGTCTTTACACCAACAAGGTCTTATAATTAATCTTGCTTGTAACAAGCACTTTCATTGGCTTAAAAATTATGTCATCAACCAATAGTATAAAATAATGACGTCGCCGTTTGTAACGTCGCTTTTAATTGACTGATACAGCGGCGTAATATTTTCTAAGAGAAAAGAGTCCATCAATAAAAGTGGATTTCCAGAGGGATTGTGTATAGTAGATTAAATTATAAGGATTGACTTAAATATATTTTTCATGTTATGAAGCTATAACACAACAATCCGGAGTATACTTTCATCATAAACCGCTTCGCGGTTTATTTAGAGTACACTCCGTTTTTGTGTGTGTTATGTCTCCATAACATGACAAATATATTCAAGTTAATCCTTAAATATCAGTCATGTGCTTCTATGGTTGGCTTTATGTTTTGTTTTGATTTGTCACATTACCTATGGCAGTATTTTCATATCGATTTTAAGCTCTAACTATTTGCTAGTGTATTGACGCTGTGATATACATTTGCTATGTTTTTCATTAAAGAGATGGAACATATCATGCAGACCTGCGACGTGACAAGGTTGTTTGGTGGTATGTTTATGACCTGTTACTGTTACAAGGAGTGTGGACATGTAAGTTGGTTTGTTGAAGTCAAGCTTGTGTTTGAAAATGTTGATAATGTCAATGCCACAATAAAGCCTACAGAGGAATCATCCTTTATTATCCAACGTATCTAATACAAACTAACATATAAAACCTGTGTAGTATACATCTTGTCTTATATGACCAATGTATTGTGTAACACGGGGTTTTGGATAACACGAATAGCACTGTATATCAGTGTTGTTTCTAGACTATTTATCTTTGATAATGTTATCAGATTTCATTTTTGTATGAAATGTTTCATTTCTATCAAGTGAACCTGCATCAGATGACTATTCTAAAAGCGTCACGTTGGATTTGAAACATTCATTTGAAAAGCTTCATAATGAGAATCTTGTGCTTTGAATTTTTTTGTTATATTGCATAAAAACGGAAGAGTTGCCTCCCTTATTTGGACAACCTTGTTATGTATATTGAACTTCATTGTATATGTATCCTTTATAACAGATCAAGACTTGAGTAATATTAATATACATGTATATACGCTTGACACTTTGTTATATTAGGTTGAGCCAGTGTTTCAAAGATTCACCAGTTTGAGTATCCCACCAGTCGTAAAGAAAAAGGTATGCTATATATAGCTTTAAAATTCGTGAATGTTCACTAATTATTTCTGATGAATCTGTTTTTCGTTTGCAAATATGTAGTTTGTGTTGATATTTTAGAATACATTTACATCTAAGCATGTCTACACGTTGTGCTGAATGTTATCGAATGGTATATGATTTGTGAGCTTGTGATCTAGAATATATGACTGTATCAAAAAAACCGATGTAATAGGATATAATGAACAATGTAATGATAAGACATTAATTAAGTAATAACGGTTATTTGTAGACTGAAGACGACAAACCAAAACCAACCTTTGCTAAAAAGGTAAACAAATATGTTAAGGTAATCAAGAAAGAAAAGCAGTTAAAACAAATAAAAAATAATAAATAAATAAATGAATAACCACAATAAAATAATTAAAATAAAACAAAAGCGAAAAAACTGAATACTTGTTTTCGCAAAATAAATATTATTCATGTAAAATATAGAAAAAAGACAATATAAGATTGCGAAGAGAAATGACTTGATTTTGTTTTTGTATAGCTCAGAAAACCTTAGTCATTAAGTAATCATATTAATGTACAACAGTGCTAGTGTTCATACTCATACTAGGCAACTTCTGAAGACATAGATTGAGATTTAAAAAAATCCATATCGTTTGTATCACAGCGACCTGGTCCTCTGGAAACAATTGCCTTTTCAGTCAAACCAAAGGTATGCATTTAATACATCAAAGTAGTATAGATAACGCTTACAAACAGGAGACGAATACAATCAGTTTTGTCTGTTTTGAAGCAGATGTCATACAAATGTATCTCCGTGTAACTGTATTAGCAATGAATGTTTTAGCAAATGCTGTTATGGTCCTATAACACATTGCTATTGATGGCAAAGTTAGTAAAGCCCGGTAGGGTTTCATGTAAGTTTGTCAGCTATAGAAATGTGTGTTATAGGAGCATACCAATATTTGCTTAAGTATTCAATATTTATATTTACATTTTGATAGAGTAGTTACGCTTTATTTAGTCATCTCGAACAGTTCTTTGAATAGCAAATTAAGTCTCGATAACAATGAGATTGATGACGGTACAATACAGATTGATTATTTTACAATAACAAAGGTGCTTATAGTCTCACAACAACATTTGCCTGTTCAATGAATTACAATGGAAGGATACAAAGCAAATGTAAATATTCCGATACCACACATCATATTTGAACCTCATTCGAACAATCTGTCTTTATTTTTATTATTTTACTCAGAAACGACAACCTTCCACGCGACACGTTGAGGTCGACAGTGTGTCTAAATCTGTTGATGTCTCAGCCACCAGAGAGCCCTATTCAGGACAATCTAAACGTATTGTTGATGAAACAACCCGGATTGTCAGCAATCAAGACCATCAGATGAAGACTCCGAAAGGGTATGGTGCGATACAAAAGTCACAAAAAATGGACGGAAATCGTAAACGTAAACACAACACGACGTCAATGCCTAAATCCACGTCCAACCTAACTGAAAGTTCTGATAACACAACAGAAAATAGTATCGACATGTCTTCCTTACGCGAACATTTACCCATCGTAGAGGAATTAGGTCTGAAAACTGAGAACAAAAAGGGAGATGTTGTTGTTGGCAATAATGATGATACCAACGACACTGACGGAAGCACTAGTAAATCAGATATTGGTAAAGTAACACCAAATAGCGACGATCAAGAATCTCTGTCTGATTGCAGTATAGAAGACATCAACAGACTCCAGGGCTTGTGTTTGGTAAAGAGAAAGAACAAATTAAAGAAGAAAAGAACTGGCATAGAACTCAGTCTTGACAAGTTGACAGATTTTGAAAAGATGATGGCTGCTGACCTTCCATGTCGGATATGTAGTAAGAAGAAAGGTATTGCAGTTTTTTATATTACAATATCATGTTAGTGATCAAACTATTATTTTATGAAACCATAGTAGGATGAGTGCAGTAAGCAACCTTTCTCCCACAACCTACATCCTACATGTTTTCACACTCTCGACTCATTGAGTAGACCAGCTAGGAGTTGGTAAGCTGTTTTGGTCACTAACCAACTGGTGCATAACACCCTGGACGCTTTTTCAGTTGTCAATCCTCTAATAATGACGTAAAGTAACAATGCTTTGTGACGTCATCTTCCATTGAGACATCATTGTTCATTGGCCATTGTTTCCCCGATCAGAAACAGGAATAATGCATTCTCAAGAGAAACATGATTTTATAGAAATGATATCTGAACATTGTTGGTAGAAAAAAGGTTACAAAACTCATGATTGTTGATTATCATGTTTATCCAACTATCGTTAGGTAATTTGTAAATTGAAAAATTGTGTCTACATACAATTTAAAACTTAACTAATTCGACTTAGATAACATGATAACCAAAAAGTCACTCGTTTGGGATCCTCTAAATATATTGTTAATTGTAACAATTTTAACATAGTCTTAACCAAATCACATTTAAATGCCCATATTTAGATTCTTATGATATACAATGTATGTATTGAGATTGCTCCATTCAAACATTTGAAATCCTTAGTATTCTTCCACAGTCATACATACAACACATGTACATATCTGGTTGCAATGAGATTATGGAAGCCCCTCTTATCATAAATATGAATGAAAGTATAAAAAATACGCATGTTAGAACTATCATAATACCGAGACGTACGAAAACTATATACATAGTAGAAGCGTAATTATGAGATATAAGAACATGTAAATATATTTCATTGTTTGTCCATTTATGATTAATATTACCATAGAAACATGCGGTGGTGTCCTGTACAAACAAATCCAACTTGTCTCCCTCCCTCACGTACTGGTTCTTCACATCAACAGATTTGAACAGGTAATGATGGCATCTTTAGAAGAACGTAAGTTATATCGGATTCACATAATGGAACTTGTTTCTACATCCTTATTTTGCTTCTTTTGCAAATTAGAAAAGCTCGGTGTCGCTAAAATATTGTCACCAATAAGATTAGTTACTTCGCATTACATGTAAATTATTTTCAGTAAATGCTAAGTTTGTAGGTCGGAATGGGTAAACAATTAACTGTCTCTTTGACTGCCTTCAGCTTTAAATGCTATTTGAATGAAATATTTCGATAGTTTCTGACTCGGTACATTTTGGCTTAGTGCTTAGATTTCAAAGGTTTAGAGTTAAGACACCGGTCTTTGCACTCTTTGTTTTCTAAAGCTTGCAAAATAAGTTTTCAATTACGATTTGTGTTTAAAACAAACTTACAAAATGTTATTCATAACGAATTGATGAATCGGAGCATGAGATAAACCATCAGTGAAATGTTATAATTAATACGAGTATATAATTATATAGCCAACGGTGATCCATTGAATTTTCTGTGTATACCACTACAATGGGTTGCACTCGGACAATAACCTTGATTCAAAATATAATTATAACTGACACAATTAGAATTGAAGGGAAAATAACACATTGAATTTCATAATTTGTTTGGGGACAAGGAGGCACCTTTCAAGAAAGTCATAGTGGAACTTTCTTAAGGGAAATAACCTCTATCATAAATTACATTTATAAAGCACAAGGTAGTATATATCCTTAAGTTACCTATCAAACATGGAATTAACCGATTGATTAGGTCCAAATTGACTTTGGTTGAACATATGTTACAGATGTATAAGCATGGAACATTTTTTGGAGATACAAATATACCTGTCTTAGCCAGGTACAAAAACTCATTACGTGATAATTGGGAGAGCCAGATCCCAACTTTTAAATTATAATTTAAGTTGAAAAATGTAATCAAAACCAAAGTAGAAAACTTTATAGTTTGCTTATTACCAACACTTCTTTTGTCATTTTTAACAGAAAGGAAGCCAGTTTTGTAAAGTTACAGACTTTGTATCTTACCCGAAGTTTTTGGATATGACTAAGTTCTGTTCAAAGTCATTAGAGGTAAATTCTCGCATACATTTTAACGTTTGTTGAAAATGAACATTTATAAAAAGGGTTTATCCAACAATTCTCTTTAAATATGTAAATGATTTCCATTTTCTCAGTAGACGAAAAAAATATTGTAAATTTACATCTGATATTTGTCATTACGGTAATTAGTTTCACTTCACCAGTTTTAATCGCAAAGATGAAATACATATTTAAATAATCTGTCATTGAATTTGCTACCTTAGCTTAATTACTATATATTGAAATAAGTCAATATCAATTTGTTTTATTTATATTTTTGCAAAACTGCAAATATAAACCTCACAAGTTATCAAATATGGAACTTACCTTTTCAGCAACTGGAATCAGACAGCGAGCTGTTGCATGGACACTTTTATTCCCTGTTCGGTGTAGTAAACCACCAGGGTTCGATGAGAGGAGGCCATTACTATGCCTACATAAAAACTAACCATCGAGATGTACGACACATACAGAATCAACTGCAAAACTCATGGAAGGACCCAGAGGCTATGGCGTCCGGAATCCGTACACAACTAGAGGCTATATGGAAAGCAGAACGAGAAATCTGCGTTCCACCAGATAAGAAACAACAACAGGAAGATAAAGAAGATGTTGACTCTCAGAACAGTCAAACGAGCAACGATGTTCAGAAAAAGAAGAAAGATGGATGTCGAAAAGATGGCAGCCTCTGTCATAACAACGACCAACAAGATTCAGTTGATCAAAACAGAAGACCAAAAAAGAATGTCACTTTTGATAATGAGGATAGTGAACAAGACATACTGTCCGAGGGAAACAAAACAGATCTTCAAAAGGATCCCGATCTTCAAAGATGTAAAAAGAAAATCAAATCAAGGAATAATGAGGACAAAGAGAGCTGTGCACTTCAGAAGGAAGACGGAACAGCTGGATGTCAGACAGGACAAAACGGTTATGTGCTGGAGGAAATCATACATAACAATTATCACGATGAAGTAAAAGATTCTGATAATCAGGAAGACATGAAAGACCCAGTTCGAACAAAAAGTCCGATAAGTGTTGTTCATGGAGAAGACACAAATGTTCCTAGTCGACAGAAAAGATCGACGAATGATGTTCAAGAGGAAGATATGACTTCTCCTGATCGAAAGAAAAAACGGAAGGATGTTGTTCAGGAGGAAGTAAAGAATGACCCTGATCGAAAGCAAGAACACAAAGATACTGATCGAGAGTTAGACATGAATGATCCTGTTCGCGAGAAAGAGCACAAGAAAGTAGCTCTTGGGGAAGATATTAATGATGTTGGTCTAAAAAAGAACGAAACCAAGGATGTAGTTCGTGAGGAAGACATGAATGATCCTGGTATGAAAGAAGAAATCAAGGATGAAATTCGCAAGGAAGAAAAACATGAGCCTGATATAGGGAAAGACGTGAAACCTCTTGGTCGATCGAAAGAACAAAAGAAAACTGTTTGCCAGGAAAGCATGCATGCTCCTGGTCAAAAGAAAGAACACAAAGCTAAGAACGACAATGATGCTGGCGACGTAAATGATAACCAGATCGACAAGAAAGTACACTTAAAAGGTTTTATCAACAAGGGAGAAAATGGGGATAGATTTAAGGGGAAAGATGCAAAGGATCCTGATCAGAGCACAGGAGAGCAGGATGCTGGTCAGAAAACAATGGAACATAATGCTGTTATGATGACAAAAGACGAGAAAGATGCTCAGAAAAGAAAGGAGAATGATACTATCCAGAGGAAAGAAGATAGAGATTGTTTTAAAACAAAGAGAGATGAAAAGATGAAGAAAAAAGGGAAAAAAGGGGCTTACAAAGACGACAGGGAGAGACCTTTACAGCCAAACGAAAAGCAGGACGAGGAACAAGGCGATCACATTCCTATCTACGAACACAACAGCGATGCGGTCAATAGAAAAAAGATTCCTACAAACTGGGAAGACCGGGGAGATAACAAGGGGCCAAAAACAGACGCTCACGACATGTGGTTTTATGTTAGTGATTCAAGGGTTCAAAAAGAAGAAGAACGCACAGTGTTTACAAGCACAGCAGCCTACATCCTTTTGTACGAGCGAATTTGATGAATATTTTATCACGAATCTTTCGTATACGAACTATCTAAGTTATGGCCTTGCATTCAAGAAATATTTGTATAAATTCACATGTTTGTATTTTCAGATTCGCAGACGTATATTGATGGTTCCTAATATCCGTTACTGACCTAGCTCTTCGTTGCCACTTAAACTAATTTCTGCGACAGTAAATCTACCAATATGTGTCCGAAAAACTGTTAATAAAATATGTTATCCGCTCATGTGAAGTATTTGAATCCCTGACTGTGGTGAAATGTGTACTCGATTCCTCATATCGTGGATGACTTGGGGTGGATCCTGTTGACAATTTGTCTTTAAGCCGTATCCGATGGACAATGTGTGCCGGTTCATGAGAAGAACTTGTGACGTATCCTGAAAGACATGGCTTTAAACAACGTTGTAAATATTTTATTTCATTTTTTTTCATCGGGTAAAACATTACTTGCCTGTAAATGTTAAGTTAAGATATTTTACGTTAGTTAAAAAAGAAAGATCAGGACAGATACTTTTGAAAGGTTGCCATTGTTATTTAAACAATGTCACATTGCAGTATGACCGATAGGTCGAGTCCAATTATAAACTAAAACAAAGACTTTCTTAACATAAGCGTCGTCATTGAGTCTGACACATACTCCCGCATCAAAATTGTCGTTTTTTTGTTTTTTGTTTGTTTTTAAATTCTAACCGTTACAAAACTTCTGACGAACTGCTCCTTTTAATTTTTACCAGAATTAAGTTTAACATATTGATTAATAACCTGTTATGTGGTTTTAATATGATATATATTTCAGGAAGTTAATGTTGATATTCATTATGGATAATAAGATGGCGTTCATAAAAAAGGCAGTATATATAAGCAATAAGTTTGCTGTCACTTCAAAATATGACTTTTCATACGAAAAACATAAAAAAGAATTGTACACTGTTATTGTTTTAGTTAGTGATTTGTGATAAAGATCTGATCGCAGTTAACAATAAACAATATTTTTTATCATCAATATGCTTCTTTATACCACCTACCGGTAGCATGATACATTAATTATCATTGGTTGTCAGTATGAGAAGTAATTGAGAACGACTTGAGAAGAACTCGTGAACGAATTTTCCCATTTCCAATCACTTGGCCCTTGTGTAAACATAAATCATATTGATAGTGGCCCGTGTGTAAACATAAATCTTATTGATAGTGGCCCTTGTGTAAACATAAATCATATTGATAGTGGCCCGTGTGAAAACATAAATCATATTGATAGTGGCCCTTGTGTAAACATAAATCATATTGATAATGTGTCTTAAGCTATTATTTTGCCAATTTTTGTTAATATTTCGATATCGGATATTATATTGAAATAAATATTAATAGGTAAATATGATGATTATGTTTCCAAAGAGGCTACAAACTTTGTACCATTATTATGATGTTAAATTGTTAATTATCTTTGGAGGTGATATTCATTTACATTCAATAATGTTTTTATCAGCTAAATTTTTAAAAAAGAGGTTATTTCATCAACAAACTATGTATAATTACTAATAAAAAGTCTAATAATAATATTTCTATTATCCGATTTATGTGTATGATAACACTTCCAAATCCTTTAACTAAAATGCAATTGAAACGTTAGGAAAGAGTTGAAAAATAATATAATTGTTCCCTCACGAAATTACTACGACTCATTTATACTCTAAGTTACTGATTCGATATGAAATTGCTCAGTTTTGGTCAATAGGATATGAAAGTTGTTTAAGTTTTCTGTTTTTATAATGAAATATCGTTAATCAGTTTCCACGTTTATGAAGATCAAGTTGGAAAGTAATTAACATTAAATGCAAAACCACAACAAACGGCCGACCGACGAAACGGTCTTATCAGCTCTTACTTTTCACTGGGTCTCGATTTCGAGAGATCAAACTGAATCGCTGCAGGCACTATTCAACATATGTCAATTGAGACACACTTCAAATTTACGGTGATAAACAGTGAATTATATCTGTGAACTTAAACGACAAATATGTATCTCATCGAGCGGACACAGCATCAGAGTGTACGTACTAATAGCACGTCATTCTCATAATAAACTCTTAAATCAGTCATAGAATATACGTTTGTATCAGAATAGTTCATGCTGCCTATAAACCTGTCATGTTAAAGAAGAACAAAAGGGAGAGAACTCGTAATCATTTAAAACGAAAATAGAGAAAACGAAAGTAGACAGAAACGAAAGCAACATGGGTTTCAAAATAGATATTACAAATGGCGTCGGTTAAGTAAGATGTGTTAAAGCAAATGATCAGATGTCTTCACAAGCTTTAGTGATACATGTAGGATGTATAGCCGGAGGGGTAATAGTTGTCGTCATCCTAATTTTGGGCATCCTCTACATTCTATATATGCGTGCCAAATCACGGAGGAAGAGAAAACATGATGTACAGGTAAGATTGGTATACAATACACTTCATGATAATGTTTGAAGAAATTATTTATACACTACATAACCACATGCACGGCCATACGTTACGGTAAAGTAACAATTGATGCTGTGGTAATGCTTGATAAAGTTGTTTTGTTTTGACAACAATAATGTACTTTCTATATGAGGAATTTTTACATTTTTCTATTCTTGTGATATGCATAAATACGTGAGGATGCAATTTAACTCACTATTGTTTTATTGTTTTTACAAATTCGTCATTTAAAAATACTTTGATGATTTGCTTTTTCACTTCGTAGCCTTCTGATGATGAAGAAACTGGAACTCCAGCGAAAAGGGTATGATCTCTCCACTGCATGTATTCACAAAACTTAGTTCACTTTCACTAGTAAATTGAAGTAAACTGAAAATAACAACCGTTTTATTGAAATTATTTAAATATTTTATGAATGACTGTATACCAGAATATCTAAGTAGACACTTTACTCCAGTGTTTCGATTCTCAGAATTAACGGATTCTCGGTAATATGAAATAAATAAAGCATTTCATATTTACGTTATCAACGTGTGACATCATAATCTACTTTCGTTATCTGTTTATCTTTACATGCATTTCATATTTACGTTATCAACGTGTGACATCATAATCTACTTTCGTTATCTGTTTATCTTTACATGCATTTCATATTTACGTTATCAACGTGTGACATCATAATCTACTTTCGTTATCTGTTTATCTTTACATGCATTTCATATTTACGTTATCAACGTGTGACATCATAATCTACTTTCGTTATCTGTTTATCTTTACATGCATTTCATATTTACGTTATCAACGTGTGACATCATAATCTACTTTCGTTATCTGTTTATCTTTACATGCATTTCATATTTACGTTATCAACGTGTGACATCATAATCTACTTTCGTTATCTGTTTATCTTTACATGCATTTCATATTTACGTTATCAACGTGTGACATCATAATCTACTTTCGTTATCTGTTTATCTTTACATTCGATTCATTGCGAAACGTGTATTTAGTTTATAATTAATGGTATTTCTATACTGAGAAAATGGAGAGATGTTAGAATTCAAAGTTACCGTTAAGTTATTAAAATATATCATAAAACGTATACAAACACATGTTTGAATTAATACGTTTAATTCATCATAGTTTTCAAGATTCATGTAATATATACACATAGTATTATTCAATAACAACGTCTTTGTAGTCTTTAAACCGATCTTTGTGCTTTTATATTGTCAACAGCGATGCATAAGAAATACCATATTGGATTTCGCTGACGAACCAAAGGTACGGTAAACGAAACATCCACAAAACAATACGTTTTAATTGCAATACACTCTGTCTAGTTGATACAATTCATGTACGTGTGCATAATTAATTTTAGTTATAGTGTATATGTGCAAAATAATAATTCCATTAATGAACTGATATATTTGTATACGTACAATGTCAATTGATGACGCTATTTTATAACTATAATTCAGGTGATGGTACTATAATCTGTCTCTGTCGATGTAATATAAACCCGTGTCTAAGAGTTTGCTTTGATTGATAGCTATATAATCCGTGTGTCTATACTATTGATAAGTAAATCACAATTCGATAGCCGTACTTTTCTTTGTTTATGTGTATGCTCTTTTTCTTCAAATGTATTATAGGGGTTACCGAATCTCGGGGAAACTTGCTATATGAATTCCATGTTACAGGTAAGATGAATACTATTTGCTACATTAATAATCTGAAGAAATTGACAGAGTGCATATACACCTTTGCCTGTGTTTGTTAATCCTCGTCTAGATCAGTTACATGATGATCATTAAAACAATCAGAATAACAGAATAACATCACGGAAAGTATTCAGATTTTCCCTTCTGAAATATGTAGATAATATAGATTGAATGTCTTGATACAATATTGTACAATCCCCTGACAATTTGATGCTAGGAACTAAAACAAATATCTTTTTCCTGAAGTGTTTAGCATGGAGTCCATGTCTACGAGCACAACTGGAGGATCAGATTAAGAAACAGGTACAGTCAGTAGAGCATCTAGTATAAATAACACAGAGACCGCTTTCATCGTATGTTTTCTATTGATAGAAGATCAGTTGGATGGATTTAACAGCAGGTGAAACCTGCCATTACAAAGATAAGACTGTAGATACATACACCTGATAACAATTATTATCCAAATAATTGAACTTATCAGACGATTAATTGTATTATCTTACCTAACTAACTAACTCAAATTTATGTTAGTTTAATTACCTTCTCATTGGGTTTTAATGTATTGTCTTACCTAACTAACTAACTCAAATTTATGTAAGTCTAATTACCTTCTCATTGGGTTTTAATTGTATTGAATTCTCAATCTTTCGTTGATTATAAGTTTACCTACTTGAGCCAAATCCTTATGCTCCAAATTTTGGCATCATATTATTGAAACCTTGATGCATGATTATCTACACGTATACGTTATGTAGCAAACCCTTTTTCATATTGTTTTGTTCTATTCCACAGCAGACATATCCAAACAAAGGGAACAGAGTAGCAAAAACTTTGCTCAACGTACTTGAATCCTATCATGATGACAGCAGCGACAATGAAGCTGACGATGACGATTGTTTTAGCTGGTGTTATCCAACGGAGACAAAGTCTATGCGCAACAACATTTATGCCTTCCTCAAATCCATATCCGAGACGTAAGTTACGTATAAAGTTCACTGTCCTACAGATTTACAATCTCATCTAGTGTTACATGCTCTAATGAACAGAGATAATAACAATGAACTATTGGAGATATTGGTTACATTCTGGAATCTGTTTAGATTTAAGCCATGTGTCATAATCACAGTATCCTTATCCTTTGACTTACGTGGGAGCATGTTATACATATAAGTTTGTTTCTACATAACAAGATTAAAACTATTTCAATATAATGCATATGAGATTAAAACTATTCCAAATCGTATTCTATATAATTTGTATACGAAACTATAGTTTATCACTGAAATTGACATTTTTTTTAAGAAAACGTTTTAGCATAAGAAAATAGTATGTTGTTTATCAGTCTTCATATGATAACAATACACTTTATTAAATAGATCAAACAACAGTCATTAATATTCCATTTTATTGAATAGGTCAAATAATGTAACACAAGTCATAAAAATTCCTCTAAAAAATACAAATTTGTTACATATTGCAGGTAATTTGATAAGTAAGATTCTTTTGAACAATTGAGAATTCACGAATTATCCATGTAGGCACACTGTTTTGCTAGGAATGGTAGGTTTGGTGATGGTGTTCAAGAGGACACGTTTGAGTTCTACAATATCCTCCTCAGTACACTTCAAGACGAAGCCCTAGAAAACATCCGGGTAACGTAAACGCGTTTCTTCTTAGCAATATGTCGTTTAATATATTATTTATGGTTCATGTTATGTAATCTTAAATTGAGTTGTGCTAATCTCAGTCTTGATGTTCGAGTTTGGCGAAACATGTACGAGTGAAAATAAGTCCACTATAAACTTGATAATGTATTCACGGTACAGTAAGTAAGTGTATGATGCGATGTAACATAAACCACTACAATTTATATTAAAGCTCCTAATTGTATCATATTAACTTATATAAGTTCTTTATTACTGTTAACTTAAGTGTGAATATATTTATTATGTTAGTTTTGTTTCGTGGCTATAGCCAGACCCTACGTTTTTTAATGGTTGTACATTTGTATATCATTATTTGTTATCATAATTGATGATATTTGTTTTGTATTTACAGCGTCCACTTCAAGATGATACATGTAAGTATGATACTTACCGTTACGGTGTGTAGCTATATGCAGTATCACGTCTATGATGAAACATTAGCATGCATAGAAACCTAGAAACAATAAAAACGGTTCTGCTTGATTGGTCGATAATAAGAGTTTTTTTTTATACAGTAGAAGTGTGAACTAAGTGTCCTATTATATAGTGTATAGACCAAACAGCATATCTTTCATCTTACGATATTGTGAACAGACTAACAGAACATTCTTCTTCTTCTTCTTCTCTCTGTGAGTAGCATTATTGTTACTATAAGAGAAATGTTAGTAAAATGTTCTTTTTGCAGACGATGAGCATATCATGCGTCACTGCGGTGCCTCACGATTGTTTGGTGGGAAGTTCTTGATGACCTATTGTTATGAGGCATGTGGACATGTAAGTTTACGTCTACACAGACGGATATCTTACTTACTTAGTTCTGCAACCAATCAGCTACATTAGGAGGTTCGTAGTGAATGCAAATGAATGTATTTGTTTAACATTCCTGCAAAACGATTACATCCTTACTGGATGAAGCCTGCCAGAGTTTCATGCTAAAATGGTGATGTGATCGATTTGCGTTTGAACCGGCATGGATGTTTAAACAATCGTTGAATATGTGTCTTTACAGAAATCCTTGGTGCTTTCGGTATTGAAGTGTCTGTATCGTCAGTGAAATAAAATTTCTAAAACAGCCGTACGTGTCCAAAGCATTCTGACGATAGTCTGTTATTATTTGCGACGCAATGAGAAGCTTCAAAATGATACTGATCTAACTGCGTTGACGCCCTATGGACATATTTACTCTGGGATTGTTTATATAGGTACTTGAAGCGGTAATATAAATATAGGCGAATGGATGCATGAATATAATCGTACAAAAACAAATCAGTACTCTTTTAAGAAAAAGAAATTTTACAAATGTGAAAAGTAATCATATTGACGATACAGATTTTAGCAGGGGAAGGTGTTTGTGTTTACGCGGGCTTTTTCAGTAAAATATGGATGGGCTGCTTAAACGTTTTTGCTTTTTTGTATTAATGCACTCATGCATTCCCTGAGGAAAAAAATGCAAAAAAGCGCATGTATCTGTTTTTCTTGAGCAGGAAAAATCGACCATTTTTCTTAATTTTCTAGGTTGATACAGTATTTCAGCCATTCACAAGTCTGAGCATACCCGTTACTAAGGTACGATTATTACAGTTACCGTATTTACTCTAGAGTATGTCTATGTACATGCTGCTTTTCTGATCATCTTTTATTTTAACTTTCATATCTGGCGAATGGAATCACTGGAATCAACAAAGACCTAGATGTAACTCGATTTGACGAGATGTAATTACGTTGTTTTGTTAGTAAACGAACTTGATGATATATTATACTCACTGCAATACTCACGCCATATATTATACTCGCATGTTTTGCTGACATTGAACTATTTGAACGCTATACAAATTGTTTTGAATCAACTTTTTTATTGTCATCCTGCTAAGCAGAATCCGGACGGTTTATCAAACTCCGCAGTGACGTTAACTGTGAACGACTCGGACGGGAATAGTGCATATTATGTTTCATCAGGGATCGGTGGCAAATATGGCAGTTTATCAGATCAAAACCAACTATTGAAAGAAAAAATGGATGTCGACAGCACAAATCGCATTGAGGTAAAATCGTCAAACATCTCCAAACCACCAGAGAGCAAACTTTTCAGTGGATTGTCTCTTGCTAAGGGCAACATGGATGTGATACAGACAGGTGTTGAATGGGGACTAGAGAAATTGACCGAAACAGAAACGATGGAGGCATCTGAGGTTTCCTGTCGAATATGTAAAGATGGTAATTCCTCTAACATTTCTAACAGTTGATTTAACCCGCGAAAACATATACGATCATGTATGTAAATTCAACTAGTAGACAGTTCACATTGTTTTACTCAAAGTATGAAAGCCTATATTCAGAGTGATAAAACCCAATGTCGCAAAAATCTACAGGGTAACCGTATTAAAAAACCCTTGCTTTCATATAACAAAATAAAATAGAATGACTTCATTAAGTTCTTACTTGAAAAAGATTTTTTTCTGTATACATTGGTAGTTGACTTTACCGACCGCTGATTAAAAAACTTATAAGGCAAAAGACAATGATTGAGCCCCTATTGATATTTGTAAAGCCTTGTTTCACTGTAAAATAAATAATTTTTGTTGACAGGAAACGTGGGCGTGTTGTACAAAAAGCTACAGGTGATCTCTCTTCCTCCGGTTCTGGTTTTGCAAATCAACAGATTCAATCAGGTACTGTTTTACATGTTATAACAATATATCGTTTTTGCTTTATTTAACCAAGGATTTTGGAATTTTTATCAGCACCAATATCAGTAATAAATACATATCTTGTGGTCGATATTTTGTATCCCAACAGAGAGATCGTGATGTGTACAAGGTGAACGACCAAGTGTCTTACCCCAAGTTTCTGGATA